GTGATGAAACTACACTGGCAACAAAATTTGTGGTTGGAAATATATTCTGGAGGTACTTTGATTAAAATGCCTAAAATAAAATTAAACCGTACTTTTAAAGAGGTACACTGTCAACTGTATGAAAAACATAACTAAAATATCTTATTTCTAATGTTTCCAGATGCCCAAGGTTTTACTGAATGGGGAGTCAATATCACTTTAAAATGTGCCTGTTCCTGTACAATCACAAATGACTAAATTCTCAACCACCACCACTGTATTTGTTACTGATTCCTTAGTGATAAATACACATTTTAAGAGGTAGGTGCCATATTTTTGTCAGTATAAAGGAAGTTTGGTGATGAAATAGTTGGCATGTAAAGCAGAATCCCGAAAACTGAGTAGAAGACCCATTGGAGTTTTGGCTGTATCTTTTCTTTCATCCCATCTGAGCAGTTTCCATGGGAACATTTATTCAGGTCTGAGGATGCTTACTGAAGCAGATGTATCTTTGCTGAGGTCTGGAGTGTGATATGCAGGCACAGAAGAGACGGTTGGCTCACCAGGGCCATATGGAATAAACAGGCAACTTTCCCCATTGCTGGCAAAATAGAATAGGGCCCTAACACCTTAAAATGAAGAATGATTTGTAATTTGACTCTTAGTAGGAAAACCAATATTCAATAGCTGAATATTGAGGGTCCTCCCCACCCAACCTTTAAGTCATGGTTGATACTGAAGTATTTATTTTGAGAACTGTGGCAGCAGAAGAAACTCTGGAGCCCTGCTGGGCAGCTGGGTCACTTGCAGTACTTGGTTCACATCTAGAGCCACTGTCTCAGTGACACTTGATCTGTGTTTGCTCACCACAGGTGGTCTTGTCTGAGGCATTCTTTTATGGTCATTTCCCCCTTAAGAGAAAACAGGATGTCCAAGATGTTTCCTGGGAGTCTGTAAAAAATATACTTTTATTCAGAATCCCCTTTGAAGGATCCTGAGATAAGCCGATTCAGTTTCCTGAGAAGTACTCACTCAGGAACCAGGCTGCAAGAGCGGAGCGTGGACTCCTTCAGGAGCAGGGAGCAGCAAGTCAGCCCAGACTCTCCAGGATCAATCAAGAGGCCTTTACCGCTCTAAAGAGAACAGTGTTTGACTTGGGGGAAATGAGGCCAGGCAGCAAGAGATGGTAAATAAATAACAACAGAAGACACTTAGCCCCTTTCCCCAAATAACCTACCACTGGACATAATACGAGGTGTCATAAAAACATGTGCTTTTGGTCCTAAGTTCCCAAATCAATACCCCCACTCTTTCAGTATAATTCATATTGGTCAAAAAGGAAACACATACACAAAGCAGTCTGTTTTAACCTGAAATAATTCTGTTGATATTTGAATTGCTTTCAGTGGGACATTCGCTTTAAACCACAAGGTATCTCCATCTCCAGGTACAAAAATCCCTTTTCCCTCCCCTGCCACCCCCCACCCCACCCTGCAACCAAAGAAACAAATGAAACCCAAAACCCACAACTCAGCTTCAAATAAGTTTGCAAGAAATGAGACTCTAAATATTTACATACGGGGCAAGAAATAAATCACAAAACTATTTACAAAAATACACAAGCTTATATGCATTACAATTTACACCAGTTCACAAAAATATTAAGACATAAAAAAACACTATATAAATTAAAGTTAAAAACTCAAAAGTATGATCTAAGACTTCCTAGGATGCTTCTCTCATGCAGGTCATGGTTGAAAAATCAGGTTTTTCTATCTCAGAATCTAAACTGTAAAACCATTTTTATTCTTTGAACATTAACAGTACTAATCAGATAAGGAAAAAAGACCCTCTGTGCACACTGACATTATCTTGCACACATTATAATACACCATTCCTGACATTTCTGTAACACAGTGCTGAAAATCACATGCCTCTAACCATGTGGAAGAAGTAACTCTCTGACATACTTTTGCTTTCATTATTACTTTCTTACACATTCTGCTCAAGCAATACTTTGCCAGCATACTAAATGGGTGACTGACAGGGCTGAAAACAGAGAAATGGACTTTGCAGGCTCCTTCAACTAAAGGGGCAAATTTCAAATGTACATTGTTTGCAACTGTTACTGCTCCAAATGTAACCTACTCCTCTGTCCCCATTCATGTTAATAATAGTCCCTGCTCTCTACAGAATTAGTCCTACAATTTTTCAACCTGACCCTAAATTTTAAAAAATGCTTTACCATTGTAAGAAATGGGCAGGCCCTACTTGTGGGACCATCCCAGGGACTTGCATGTTTGAAAGGAAATTGAATATAGTAAGAAATAAGGCTCAGATGAAATTTATTGATAAGAAAATGGCACCTCTGGGATTGTTAGCAAAATTTCTAGCCGGACGTCCAGGGAATATTTATTTCAATCAGACCAAACTGTGGAATCAGAGTTTTGCCAAAAAGATAATATCTGGAGGCATGGCTACGAAAATGTCAATAGGATTAAATTACGGATTTAATGTATAAGGCAGCTCCATTTCCTTGATCATAATGCTCCACATCAAAATTTGAAAGTAATTAACATTCTTCAGTTAATCTATTTGTGAAGTCACACACAAGGTGAACTGTGCTGAGGTATCAGGCTCACAGTGATTTGCCGTCTGGTTTCCACCCCACAATATTAGAAAGGGAAAGATGCCGGCAAAGTGTTTCAAATAACTGAATCCAAAGTTAAGGCTGTTGCTAGCATGCATTAATGAAGCAACTTGAGATTTTATCTAAAGTTTGTGTTTCACGCTTATACCAGTAATTGCAGTCATCACTCTATATTTGAAATATTTACCTGGTATTTCTAAACCTATAGGACATTTATTAATAAGGAAATTGTTTTGAGGAATTGACCCTACTATTTATAAAATAGACTTTAGTTTCAAGACTAAACAATCTGTATGACAACAAACCCACAAATATTAAAACTGGACTGGACTCCCTGGGTTACTTCCTTTGGGCTCTCAGTTACTAAAGCCATGTGTAACTCCTCGTCACAGCAGCCCCTCTTCCTAACCTCCATGCTGCTAGTGAGAACTTACAGGGCTGGTGTGTTCTCCAAAGGGCAATGAGTTGCCTACTTGACAAAAATATGATTAAGGTAAAAAAAATAGTGCCACATATTCACCGAAGGTCAAACTTTTATATGTAGCACTTAGGGTGTTTTTGTGCCAAAATGGAAGTATCCTATCAGGTTTCCTCACACTTTGACACCAGTTGGGTCTGTACTTTTAATGTAGAGGCCTAAATTTCCACAGACCTTTTCACATATGAGTGTTTCAAGAATTCTACTACAGTTTTTACTGCATCCCTCCAATCAATTCTAGGGGAACAAAATAAAACCTTATAGAATATTTCCACATATTAATGTGTTGTTCTTAGAACATTTTATTTTTCTAAATATAAACCCTTAAAATGCACATTATTTTTAAAATAAAAACTGGCATGAATCCTAATCTTTATACAATTTCACAGCAATAATAGCAGCATGATTTTAGCCTCTTAAAAGATTTCCTCCTTTGCTCTAAATAAAAATTAATTTCAAGTTCTAAAAAGCCAGAGCAGCAACCATCCAGTAAATGGAATGCAATACTCCTAGTGTCTTCTACAGACCAAGCATTTAAAATACGTGAATGTATAAAGCTTGAGTATTATTAAGAGTTATGGAGTGAAATGACAATCTAAACTCAATTTGTAAACATAGGACTGCCTTGCTAGTCTGATGTATTCTGGGGGTAGAGGGAGCTGAGAACATAGAACTGAGTTGGGCTAGAGAGTTCCTACTCTAATAGGGAATGCAACTTCAAAAGTCGCGGCTTTTAAACATATTTAACATGTCTCCAGAGTTATAAAGAGCTATACCTGAAATGCTGGTGTAGATGATAATTACAAGACTGTGACCACACAAGTACAGAGTAAGCAAACAACAGTAATGCCTTAGGACAGCAATGATAACTGCCCAGAACTCCAACTGGTGAAATGGGGCTGTGTACTAAGTGGTTATTGCGGGAACTTGCAGTCTAATAATAGATAACTCGTAGCTACTTAAATAATTCCCAGGGACCCTGTACTCTGGTTTAAAAACAGAAACAAACATGTAAATTTATGTCCATAATAAACTATGTGTGTCTATCCAGTCAAACCATGCTGGGGTTTTTTTTGTTTTTTTAATTAAAGAAAGTTGGTAATTTAGGAAAATCAATGGTATAACATGTTTTACTAGAATTACAATTCACCAAATATTATTGAGGAGTGGAAGAAGAAGAAAACCTGAAGGCGGGCAATGCAATAAAAGCATGGATATAGTTTACTGGTGCTAACAAAGTTCACTGGCAATGAGAACTTAACTTTGTTTCACCTAAGAAGCTTCCTTAAATTCGAACTTTTAAAAATTCCTTCTGTCATAATGAGCCTGTTCATTGAACTGTGAGGAACAAGGATGAAAAAAATATAAAGAGTATGGTTTAGCCTGAGTCTAACTGGTCTGATGTTTTATGATGACACTACCAAATGTTTAAAGTCTTAATTTCTTATTTTTAATTATAATATTGCTAACTGTCTGACTGACTGATCTTGAAGGATCAGGGATTTTTCCATTACTCTAACTGAACACAAGATCCTTCTCAGATGGGGAGAATGAAGTGAGAACAGTGTGTCGATCTGGGCAAGTTGTGCAGCTACGGAAGGAGAAGCAGGAACACAACAGGGAATGCAGAAGCCTACCAGGAAATCCATGTGAACTGCTCTCAATTTCTCAGCAAATACTAAGAAGAAAGGTCAACGCTGAATTCAGATTCAGTGAAAGGCAGTCCTCAAGCTCTTTCAAGCTAGCCCTAGATGGCAAGTATAGCCTGTGACAAATTTCTCTACTAGGTTTCAGCACAGGGCTTTACCATCCTTCAGATCTTTTTAAAAGACAAAAATGACAAGTCTATAGATGGAAGAGGTGGTAATGAAGCAGGGAAGGGGAAAAAGATGGTGATTTGTTTACTTTTATTATCTTTTTTAAATGTTGTCAGGAGTTTTATAGTATTTTTTGTTTTTTTAATCTTTTTGCTTATTGAAAAAAATAGAACAGTCCACTGTCCAGCAGAGGCTGCTTCAACTCTATTGCTCCCAGGGCTCATTCTGCATGGATCTGTGTTTCAGGATGCTGCAAGGACAACTCTGTGGGCAGGAAGGCCCCTTGACCCAAAGCCGTAGCATAGGTCCTGCTCTGTGGATGAGGAAAGCCAGGAGGCACATACGTCCCCCCCATGCTGCCCCCTCCAAAGACTCCTCGCTGGTGCTGAGGCAGGGAGTGGTAATCCTCCAGGTTATCATACTGGGACACTACAGTCACACTGCTCTGACGCTTGACGTGTGGTTGGTATTGGTACAGCATACTGGGGTCCCTCTCCACGTTCTGGGTATGATGGAGTTTGAGGCTATGACTCCTCTCTGGTTTAGGGGGTGGGACCATTGACTGAGTGAGGTGTTCTTCCTCCTTGTAGCAGTCTCTGGAGTGTTTCTCTGGGGCAGAAGGCTGCCTAGCCCAAGGCCGTTCCATCTCTTTGGAGAGCCTCACCTCTTTGTGGTTCAGTCTTAAAGATTCTTGCCCAGATGCAGCATATTTTACTCCAGAGTTATGGTAGCCAACTGGCTCAGAAGTGTCTGGAATCCCTTTGGAAACGTAATCTAACTGGCCAGCTCCCTGGGGATACGGGGGCCCATTTTTTGACTCACAGAACTGCCTATGGCTTGCTTCCTGGTGTGCCCTGTGCTCAGGGAGACTGCAGCCCATGTCGGGAAGCTTCCTGCTCCTCAGGCTGCTCTGCTTCTGAGGAAGGGATGGCTTCTCCGGCTGCGTGCTACCATGGCCTCCGTGGTGGTGAGCTCTATCCAACTCTGCCTCAGGATGCCTCCTATAGAAGCGGTCCTCTCCCTCGGGACTGATGGCCTTGGCTGTGTGGCGGCCCTCCTTTCCTTCTGCCACTGAGAGAAGTCCAGTTTTCCCAGGATCTGATTTACTCCGCAGATGAATGACGTAGATCCCACCCAAGTCATCCTGCACAGCTGGGGTCATATTATCGTATTGAGACATGACAGGCCCTTTCACTTTCTGCCGAGCACGGCTCTCTCTCCGGATGGACTGCATGCGATATTTTTCCATGTCCTCAAGATCCCATGAGGTGTAGGTGTGCTTTACATCAGCAGCCGGAGGAATGTTGACTACATTATGGTCGTTGGGAGAGAAATAGCCAGTTGCATTGGCCCGGGGACGTGGAGGCAAACCAGCGTAACTGTACAAGTTCTTTCCCTGCAGTCTAGGATTGTAGAAAGCAAAATCTCGACTGGGAAGGCGGTGAAGGGGTCTCAACTGGACTGTGCCATAGGCATCCACATCACACAGAGCCCCATCTGGACTGTAATAGGAACTAGAAGAACTAGAATATGGGCTATATCTGTAGTGGACCCGGCCATTCTCAAAGTAAGGCTGAAGCTGAGTTACATGATAATCTGAGCGGGCCTGGGAGGACTGATATGGCTTATATTGGTACAGGGGTCTTGGGCAGTAGGCTGGCTCATCATCTGGGGGAACTTCTGTCCGTGAAATGGGAACAGAGCGAATCATGGAAGATGGCGGGGCATGGAGAGACTGCACTCTCCGGATGGTAGGGTACGGCGGAATGTCTTCAGGATAACAGGCATTCCTAACAGAGGAGCTCAAAGAAGACACGTACTCGATCCGGCTGCATGGCTTGGAGTGGTGTCCAGATGCGTTTCTTCCTGGGGCCACGTATGTGTTATAACGAAGACCCATGGAGGCTGGTGGCTCTGACCTGGCACCATATACTTGGTGCTGCTCCAATTTATTGTGATGTGGAGGTACACTCTGGGGACGGTACTGGCAGCTTGGAGTCATATTGAAATGCAAACAGTTTTCTGGACCAAAGGGTTCAGCGGCGACATCAGGCCTAGCAAAGGAGGAGTAAACTGTTTTCTGAGAAGCATGCTTAGGTTGTGGGACAGGAACTGGTAAAGGCAACACATCATCCACAGAGGCGGATGAAGCAGTGACAAAGGAATGATAATTTGAACTGCTGGTGGCATCTGTACTGCTGGAGTGTATGGCAGCAGTCATCTTATTCTCCATCGTCCTGGTCGGGGGCAGTGGTGCAGGAAAGCCACAGGGGTGCGCAGAGACAGACTCGGCACGCAGGTGCAGCAGTGGGGCCCGTGCACCGTCCCGCACTTTCTCAGGCAGGCCTGGCTGGACAGCTGTAGCCATGTGACACTGAGCAGCAGCTGCACCACCGTCACTGATGAAGACAGATGCAGGATCATCCATGGCTCGAGGTTCAAGTGGCCTCTCTGGAACTGGAACTACTCCTTGAACCTATTGAAAGATGATAATACTATGGTCTATGTTTTGTTTGCTCTATGAATCAAGTACTAATAAATTTGTAACTCACAAATTGAGGCTGGTTGGGTAGCAGATTGAACCAAGCCATGTGGTTGTAATGAATCTGTACCCATTGCTACGAAAAGAAGGCTTATGCTGCTACTTTGTACAATGGCCAGTATCATCTTTGGAGAACCATTCAAGGTTTTCTAATTTATGAGAGGTTTTAAATGTGAGATGAGGTTGCCTATGGCATTACCCAAGTAACACAGTAAAGCTTAAAAATACATACCCAGTTCTACATATTATCTATTAGTACATACTGTTCTATATATTACCTATTAATCTAGCTCAGTCTCAATATCAAGGACATTTTTTAAAAATTAAGAGTTAATTCTATCATCTGGAGAGATTTCTGAAATCCACAGTTGTACACAGTGTACATTTTAAGCCTTCAAAAATAGGGAAAGGGAATACTCAAATCAGAGGCTATTGCCTCTTCCCTATCTTTGATTCCAACTAGTCTGACCCACAGGCCAAAGATAATCCTCAAACTGCAAACATGCTATCCTTGAGAAGTAGTAGCTAGACACAGCATCCTCCACTAAAGTCTAAAATCTTTTTTTTTTTAATTAATTAATTTTTTTTTTTTTGAGACGGAGTTTCGCTCTTGTTACCCAGGCTGGAGTGCAATGGCGTGATCTTGGCTCACTGCAACCTCTGCCTCCTGGGTTCAGGCAATTCTCCTGCCTCAGCCTCCTGAGTAGCTGGGATTACAGGCACGCACCACCATGCCCAGCTAATTTTTTGTATTTTTTTTTTTTAGTAGAGACAGGGTTTCACCACGTTGACTAGGATGGTCTCGATCTCTTGACCTCGTGATCCACCCGCCTCAGCCTCCCAAAGTGCTGGGATTAAAGGCTTGAGCCACTGCATCCGGCCCCTAAAGTCTAAAATCTTAAGTCCTATTAATAGTTCAAGGTGAAAAATCTTAAGTCCTATTAATAGTTCAAGGTAACCATAAAACAAACACAAACACACACACACACACACACACACACACACACACGCACACACAGAGCCTGTGGCATTTTAAAATATGAGGAAATTCAGGAAGAAACCCTAGCATTCTGCATACTACATTCTCTCATTGAAACAGGTGCCTGACTATGAAACAAACCGCTAGTGAATGCTAGGAAAATAACAAAAAATCCCAAGGCACTATAATCTCTTATACTTCCAAAAAGTCTGCAAGGCAAAGTCTTACAAATGTTTTGAGAATAAAGTATTTTCCTTGTGTAGCTGTGAATAATTGGCAGAGGGTGGGCAAATGACTTGCCCAAAGTCACAATAAGTCAGTGATGGAGTTGAAAAAGAAAAAGCAACCCATAACTTTAAAGCCCACTTTGTCTCATTTGATCATGATTTCTTTGTGTTACTATGAATAAACAACTAAGACACTTTAGGAGGAAAAGGGAGCAGGTCATCTCCTGCTATACAGACTTAAGCTACAGTCGTCTAGAAGCTACTCCTTTCCTGGGGAAAAGCCAGCATCAAGGTAATGGCAGACTCCAACCTCAAATGGGAACTATTTCATGGAAATCAGCCACAGAGCTTAAAAGTAACTGTTGCATCTGACTCAAAGATAGCAACACACCCTGCTAAAAAAGTGACATACCTTTGGTAAAAGTATATTTCATCTCACTGATATCCTCCCCTTCTTACCTTGTGGGAATTATTTAATCCTATATTGGTTGCTGCTTGTACCTGCCCCACGACTAGTGGCTGCTCTGCAGATCTCTGGGAAGGTGGAGGGGGAAGCGGACGATTAGTTCTGTGTGTGCGCTGAAGGGTGGCAGCAGCAAAATCAGCAGTGGTGGGTTGCTCAGCCATATCCCAGCTGGCTTCCTTGGTGCTCATTTGGGCTGTTGCTGGAGTAGCTGTCATGTAAGTCATGTTGGCTGTGCTGGTATTCTCTTCGGGGGACCCAGAAGGATGGCAGATTTTATCTCTAGGTAAATTAGGAGGTGTGGGTGATTTGTCTGCAAGGGACCCAGAAGGAAGGAAGATTTTATCCCTAGGTAAATTAGGAGGTGTGGGAGATTTGTCTGCAAATTCTGAAGGGTGATGGGGTTTATCCACACTTGCACCAAGGTAAGAAGGAGGCTGATCTCCATTGTAGAAATGAGGTGGAGACTGATCCTGATCCATGAAGGAGACAGTTGGTATACTGTTCTTCCCAGCCTGGTCTTCAGGGAAACTTGCATGATCATCAGACTTCTCTGAGTCTAAGGTAACTGAAGTAATTCTGGCCTTTTCTGGGTCCCCAGACAAATAGGTTCGATGTGGCTGATTCCCTGTTAAGTCTACTTGGTGGTGTTGCTCCCCAGATTCAGTTGTGTTGGAATGGGTAGGATCCCCAATAGCTGTTGTCTCTGGGAGAGGATGGTCACAGTTTCCTGGTGGATTATTCTGGAGGTGGAACTGCTCTGCTGGTCGATCGGTTTGGATATAGGCCTTATCAAGAGTAACAGCAGAGTAAGAACTGGGCAGATCATCTTCAGTTGTAGCCACCGCTATGTCTCCATAATTTGTATACCCAGCCTGAGAGGTCCCTGGTCTCTTCAATGACTGAGTTGAGGCTTGCTGTGCAGACTCAGCTAATGCTAGCGCCAACATTCGGGCAACATTTTTCGGAGGCGGTGGTGGTGGGATAAGAGAGACTGAACTGACAGGAACGGAATCCTGAGGGGGGTCATGGGTAACTGCTCCTAGTAGGAAATTGGGAAAAAAAATGAGAGTGAAAAGGTAGCTTACGTTATCCTAAATGGAAAGCCAAACACTCCCCATGTGATCATTAAAAACAGGTGCCTTCCATATTTCAAAATGGCAATCCATGATCTTCTATCCCACATGCAAATGCTGTAGAAAACACATCTGCTTCAGAAGGAAAACTAAAACAAAGAGTGTATAAAGACCGCAATTTCCTCTTGAATTGCTACAGAGATGGGGGGAAAAAAAGCAGGTCCCTCACCTGGCTCAGAAAAGATTGCTTAGAAAACAAGCTTCAAGTGCTTGCAGATTGTTATTATGAACAGTTTTTACATTTGATGGTGTAGGCTGGCTTGTTAACTTGGAAGGCTACAATAAAGATACTTTATTAGAAGAGAAAACAGAATCAAGAGCTATGCAGTTGTGCAAAAATTATCCACGAATTCTCACTGTCCAAAGATAAGGGGACTTTTGTGAAGATTTGAAGCAGGACCATTGGCCCTTTTGGGGAGCTTTGTGTGACTGCTTTTAATTTAGGGCTTTGAGCCATCAGCACCACCCAGAAAAGCATTCTCTTTGATTAAAGGCTAGCTGTGGAGCAAATTTCTCTCTTAAAAGGCACAGATGGCACACAGGATTGAAGATCCCTCTTAACTTAAAGAAAGAATGGAGGAAAACAAACGGTACCTGTCTGAGTCTGTCCAGAAGCTACAGCCTTACTCTGACTGCTTGAGACAGACTGATCCTCTTTCCCTGGCAATTCTACTTCTTCAGCAGCCACCTGGTCCAGGGGCTGGACTTCAGATTCACATCCTTCTTGGGCCTCTGTCTCATTTGTTTTCATCTTTACTATCTGGGTGGGGGATCTATTTGTGACATCCCTTTCTTCAGCGCTTTTGTCCCAGGTAGAAGATGATGTATTCTGAGCTGTGGTATTTGAGACTGTACCAATGACTTCTGACACTCGTGGTGGTAGGGTCACTGAAATTGGCTCAGATATGCTCATAGAAGGTGATTTGCTTAATTTCCGTCCTATCTTCGGAGAGAAAGCATAGACGACCTTTTCAGTAAAGGAAGATGGCTTAGATGATTTCTCTTCAGTTGGACTCAAGTCCAGGGTAAAGAATGGACTCAGTTTCTCCTGAAGAGGAGAGAGAGGTTCAGAGCTTGCTGTGCTTCCTGGAGTCTGACACTGGCTACCACCTGTCTCTGCATCCTTTTTATTGGCACTTGGTCTATCCTTGCAGTATCCTGGTGAATCTAAAAAGGAAGCACCACTCTCCAGACATTCTGATTCAGCCTTAGGAGGACTACATTGAAATGACATTGGATCAAAATCCAGGCTGGCTACTCCAATGTCCGGTGGGCTCAAGTCAACATCCTCAGCTGAATGAGGAGACATAAGGGCTGGGATATGAAGCAACCCTCCTTCCTCCTCACTCTCATTGTCATGAGGCAGGTTATCATAGGAGTTACAGCGGTTCCCCAGCATTTCTCCATTAAAAGAGGCAGACAGTGCATCACTGGAAGATCTGGGTCTTCTGGGGCGGAAGAGCTTAGAATCACCTAGAAAAAATGAATAACAATATCAAAGTATGACATCCTGGGATACACAATGCTATGGTAAGTCACCTACTTTCATAGCAGTAACTTACTCCCTAGGTGAAGAAAGTGTTACTTCTCATTTTCCTTCTGAAAATTCTTTCAGTGCACATAGATCATTTAAATTTGAGATAATAGAACTTCCAAACCAAATGCTAAATAGCAAACGTGACAGAATCAGAGGGAGAATGCAGTATTTCGTGTCTGGATAGGAAAAAGACCTCAGAATGCTCGGATTCTATTATTAATCCAACACCGATTCTTGGTGTGGGTTTGGGCAAGTTTTTCATTTCTTTGTGTCTTATTTTATCACTGTTCCTCATATGACTTATGAGGTGGAATTAATCACCTTGAGTGGCACTTTGAATCTATAATAGCAAAATGGATTTTTTGGGGGGAGGAACATCCTTATAATATTCAAATTTCTAAATAGCTTGAACTTCTCTTCTCAAGTAAAACATATTTACAATCCCACAAAGTATCTACATATATTTAGTAAAAAAATTCCTTTCAGATACTTAACAAAAATGTCATCTTTTTTCTTTCAGAACAGGCTTTAAGTTTTTCAAGCAGAGTCCTCAAGAGTGGCAGAGAGTATTACATAATTTAACAACATTGCTAAATATCTAACTGGTAAAAAAGAAACTCTCTATTCTATTAGGATTATTTTAATTGCCATAGTTAAAAAGTAATTTAAAGAGGCAGAAACTATCTTAATAAATATAAATACATTGGCCGGGTGTGGTGGTTCATGCCTGTAATCCCAGCACTTTGGGAGGCTGAGGTGAGGGGATTACCTGAGGTCAGGAGTTTGAGACTAGCCTGGACAAAACGATGAAACCGCATCTCTGCTAAAAATATAAAAGTTAGCTGGGTGTGGTGGCACACAGTTGTAGTCCCAGCTACTTGGGAGGCTGAGGCAAGATCATCACTAGAACTGGGGAGTTGGAGGCTGCAGTGGGCTGAGATTGCACCACTACTCCAGCCTGGGTGACAAAGTGAGACTCTGTCTCAAAAAAAATATATGTGTGTGTGTGTGTGTGTGTGTGTATGGGTGACTGGCACATTTGTGAATGGGTGTGCATGTGTGTATATATACACACACACAATATATATATACACACAAACATGCACACACATTCACAAATGTACTGATCACCCATAAAATTAATTCCTTACAAATATCTTCTGCTTAACATTAGTATCTACCTAGCTTGCTGGATTGTTTTTGTAGGTTATCTTGACTAGTTCAATTGAACATCTTGGAAAACTCATATGATGTCAACCACACAGATAAAGTGATGTGGGAGAACTTCTGGAATCAAAAGCAAAGCTATTGGTCATGAGGATCTGGCAATTAGAAGAGTTTTTAATGAAGATGAAAAAACAGACCAAGATGATGATACCTCAGGATATTTCAAAAGAGCAAGATTTCACTTGCTCTTGAGTATCACTGCTTTAAGAAAAGCCCTTTGGAAATCAATGTAGCTCTTGGTTAGTATTTTTTAAAAGGATCTTATTTATAATTCTGCTGCAATGGCAAAACACAATTCAAATAAATAAATAAATGTCCTATTGTGCTATTACATGGTTTTAAAAAAATAAGAGCTTCTTCCAAATTGACATTGAAGTAATTCTTTATTCTAAAAATTAGTGCATAGATATAACCATAATCCAACTTTTGCTAAATAAAAGATAAACTTATTTGCACATTTTTTTAGTTTTGTTTTTTAAGTTACATTGCAGTCAAACCTCTTTTCATTCTTAACCATGAAATTTTGGTCCCTATTTTAAGAAGGGTTTTTTTTTTTTTTTTTTTTTTTTTTTTTTTTTTTTGGAGACAGAATTTTGCTCTTGTTACCCAGGCTGGAGTGCAGTGGCACAATGTCAGCTCACTACAACCTCCACCCCCTGGGTTCAAGCAATACTCCTGCCTCAGTCTCCTAAGTAGCTGGGACTACAGGCGTGCACTACCATGCCAGCAAATTTTTGTATTTTTAGGAGAGACAGGGTTTCACCATGTTGGCCAGGCTGGTCTCAAACTTCTGACCTCAGGTGATCCACCTGCCTCAGCCTCCCAAAGTGCTGGGATTACAGGCATGAGCCACCAAGCCCAGCTGAAGATTTATTTTAAGTTGCCTTCTCCAAGTACTAATTATCCTTGCAGAATGAGGACCACATGTAATCAATCCAATCTATGAAATTTAAGATCAGGTTAAGCCATTTGCAAGATAAAACACTACTGGTCTAAATATCAAAATTACTTAATTACACACTTTATAAAATTATGCTATTGTAAAATCTAAAGAAGGACACAGTAATAACACAAGTTTTCACTAGACATTAATAAATATAAATGGTTAACTTGAAATATTTTGGCTATTTTTATGTAGTCATAAAAATAGCCAAAAGTAGTCATGCCAAAAATGAAAAGATTAAAGATTGCTACCATGTGAAAGCATCAATGAATTTTAATCTGAATAATACTAAATAGATACTAGTATTCCTAGGAAATGAGTTGATAGCCTATTTATTAAGTACAGATATGTAAAAATATACTCAATTGCAGTATTCTTTTATGCAATATATTACAGAATAAAATGACGGATGCTTTTAGTCTTACCATCAACTGCATGGAGAGACGTAAGAGACTCCTCACTTTTAGCTGAACGGAGGGTTCCTTCTGCCCTGCCACCTGAAGAATAAAAGCCAAATAGTGTGAAGATTTATTATTTGTTACACAGTGGTTAATGGGATCAGTGTTTTTCCTGATACATTTAAGAGTGATTAGCTATACACTTTGACAGTAATTTAGTACCCTATTATACAATGGGTTACATTGTTTTCAAATGGTTTCCATGTGAAAAAAATCTCTTTTCTGAAGGATTATGAATTTAAGCATAGAGATTAACTAAGATGCTTCTTTCTTTTATATTTCCTAAAGACCAATATGATTTCTTGAGATGATATCATACTGGATTATTGTAGGCCCTACACCTAGGGACTGGTGTCCTTATAAGAAGAGAAAACACAGAGACACGGAGATGGCATTTGGAGATGGAGGTGGAGATTGGAGGGATGCTGCCAATCGTCAGAGCTGGGAAAGGCAAGAAGGGATTTTTTTTCCCTCCCTTTGGAGGGAGCACAGCCCTGCTGATACCTTGATTTCAGACTTTGAGCCTCCAGAACCATAAGAAAAAAAAATTCTGTTGTTTTTTACTATTCGACTTGTGGTAATTTGTTACGGGAATTCTGGGATACGAACACAGGTAACTTTACGTACATATGCTGAATCTTATTCGCTAAATATCTTCATCCTCTTTAACCCCACAGAAGCACTAGGAACACTTTCTTTTTAAGTCCTCCCTCCTCTGTTGAGGACAGCACACATATCTTTTTTATTCTGTCTACCTTTCTAATCATTTCTTCTTACTCTCCTCTCATGACAACTCTTCATTTCCCATCTTTAAACATCGCTTCTCTCCAGAATTCCGCCCTAAACTGGCTTCTGTTCACTCTGCTCCCATCTCCTGCAATACTATTCTTAGTCCCTTATCAATTAAGTGAATCCCTACTTCTCCTTGAAAACCCTTATCAATGGTTGTATTTTCTAACTGCTAGCCCCTCCTCTACCAGAGTTGGCAATTCCTACCATAACTATCTCATGTAACTCTCTTTTTAAAGAGACAATGTCTCATTTTGTCACCCAGGCTGGAGTGCAGTGGCACAATCATAGCTTACTGCCGCCTCAACCTCCTAGGCTCAAGTAATCCTCCTACCTCTGCCTCCAGGGTAGCTAAGACTAAAAGTGTGTGCCAACAAACCTCAGTTGTTTGCATTTTTTCTTTCTTTCTTTCTTTTTTTTGTAGAAGCAGGGCCTCACTTTGTTGCCCAGGCTGGTCTTGAACTCCTGGCTTTAAGCAATCTTCCCACTTTGGCCTCCCAAAGTGTTGGGATTATAGGTGTAAGCCACTGTACCTAGCCTAAACCACTATTTCAATAACCACGATTCTGTGCTAAAATTTACTTTCTTATACATATGACTTCCTAATTTGACTTGGAAGGCAGAGGTACTATCTTAATTTTCTATCTGCAGAGACTGCTATCAAAATAGCTAGTACAGGCTCTACATGATTGCAAACTGAATGACCAATTAATATTAGTATAATTGAACATTATACTTCTAACATTACCTAAGAAGAAAGTACTACTATCCTTCCTAGATTCAGAAGCTGTTAATATCAACGGAACATGACTTTCAAACTATTTTTAAAAGAGTCGTTTTCCAACAGCGATAGATTTATTTGATCTAATAAGATACTCTATTAATGAGATACCTAATTGAAAAAAACCTTTAGTTAAGAGTTATAAACTTGAAAAGGATATTGAAACATAGTTTTGTAATTTTTTTAAATCTGTAAAAATCTAGATAAAAATAAATCTAAAATATATATCTAAAAATAAATTTAGATAACATAGCAGTATTTTACAATATACAAGTTATATGTGAATTTTAATCACATTCTTATTACATATAATTGATACAGTTTTCTTAAACTATATCAGTTGGATACTTCTACATATTTATATATAATTTATATTACTATTTTATTTAGAGATAAAGAATTGGTAAAAGAAGACACACAGTTGTGTGACACAACTGTGAACATGTTATGGAAGCAGATCATAATATATGTGAAGAATGTGCCCGGAGCAACTAAAGACCATCATGACAGCACCAGAACGGAGAACCTCCCGGGCATTCACCTTTCAGAGCCATGGCTTTCATCTCCGAAGGCTCACTCTCATTCCGCTGAAGCTTTCGTTTAGAAACGGATGATGATTTTCCCAAGTTGAAAAATGAACGCCAGCTACCCACAGGAGATTTTTTCATCTTATTTTGAGGTCTCTTTCTATGAAAGAGAAAATAATTAATCAATATTAAGATAGCCATGGGTCTGTCTTTTCTTATAGAAAAGAAATGAACACATGACAGAAAGAACCAAACGGCCTGGAGAGGCATAAGTGAAATAGTAAGCAAACATCCACCTTTCAGATAGCACACTCTACACAGTGCAGCCAAAGCAGGAAATGGATATTAAACATGCGGATTTTAGTATTAGTAACTATTTTCACAAAGATCATTTTATACATAGTTTAATATTTGGATTCAACCTCACAAACTGCGGAACAAGTGGAAATAAGATGTATCTGGGAATAGTAAATATTAAGTGTCCAAAAATAATACAGAGTTAAAATGATTTTAGGTGTGAGTAGAGAATAAAGGTTAAAAAAAAAAAAAGACAAGGATTAAGAATAATAACAAACATATACTGAATGCCAGGCACTGTGCTACCTGCCTTATATGTAATATCTCCTTTAAATCAGATATAACTACATGAGGTAGGTACTATTATTCTCATTTTGCAGCCAAGGAAATGATGCCACTAAGAAGTTCAAATAACTTCCTTAACATTATATAACTATTAAATTATAGAGTCAGGATTGAAATCCAGGTCTACCTGCATCTCAATATCTACCCTTTTAACTACTACTCCATAAGGAAATCTTTGAGTAAATTATGGAACTAAAATATAAAATCAAGATGCTGAAGACAAACTCAGGATGACAAAGTAAAAGAGTATGTTCTGACTTTTTGTTGACAGAACGTTTTTAGTCACAGGAAGTGAAAGGAAGTTAGAGGAGTATACTAAAATATGGGAAGAACAAATTCTAAAGTTATATTAGTACTACCCAATCCAGAGAATCAAAATCCTTACATTCATGTGTAATAGCCAAAGGAGTAGCAGAGACATCAAAAATAACTTTTACATACATTAGTCTTCCTACTATAACCTAGTAAAGAAGATACAGAAACCATGTTATTATCATTTCTTTAGAGTAATAGAATTTCAGAGATGGAAGGGACATTGAGAAAGCAAACTGCTGCACTGATTCTCAAATTTTAACAGACATCAGAATCACCTGGAAAGCTACATGAACGACCGATTGCTGAGTCCCTTGCTCAGGGTTTCTGATCCAGTGGGTCTGGGGTGTGACTGGACGACTGCACAATGTATACTTCCAGCAATTACCACCAGGTGATGCTGATGCTATTGGTTGGGAGACCATACTATTGATTTATTCTAACCTTAATGTGAAACCAGTATCAAACAAGTCACTGTCCATTCCTGACTTTCTGAATAAACTGTTCAAACACAGCTTATTTCTAAACAAATTTCAAAACAACATATTTCAGAGAGAAAAATCAACCCTGTATAGTGATCCTTATTTTTCCAAACAATTTTCCCTATACAATTGATGTTCTTCTTTTATAAAATTACATGATGTTGTAAAGTAAGAATCATTTGTACCATTCCCCATTAAGCTGTGTCATCCGTATTCGAATAAATAGGTTTCTCTGGGACTAGCCTAGAATTCAATGGAGTAATACTAAGATACAAAATTGAAAGCAAACTAAAAGAAAATAATAGTACATAGCTATGAAGATCATATCTTAAAACAGGGTTTAACAAATTTTACCTTTCAAGTGGGAACTCAATTATGGTATGAAATTTTCCCTGAAGTGCAGCAGGTCCTTCTCCTACTTCGATATATTTATTTTCTGTCACGATTGGAGAATTGACCTGAGCTTGTGTTCGTGCCTGGGCCTCTTCCAATGTCAGCAGCTTGGTGGATGGAGAGGATACCAGGAGGGACTTGGGCCTTGATAGAGAAGCTGAAAAAAGAAAAGAAAGGTGATGAAGACAGTGTATTCAATTTGTTAGTATCCCTCTCACCATTTATCTACCTGTCTGCTATTTTCTTCAAGTATTTTAAATGGCAAAAACCATAGTGCTTTATATTAAGTGAAAAACTGAAGGTGACATACCAGTGGCACACATACACACATATAAAACTCTTTAATAACTGTTTTCCTTCCTTAAAAGATATGAGGAAAGGTGATCAATCACTCAGATATTTTTAGTTCTGAAAGCAATTTTTCTTCTGTTCCATTTCATACTTTAATATACATCAATAATGAATGACAAGTTTTTTTTTAACGTGGCATGAACTTAGATCACGATAGGTCTAATACATAGCATTCACTACATACACACAAAATAACTGTCAAATTGTGCATTTTGGTAAGCAGCCATACATTATTAGCTGGCTTATACCAGTGACGTGTTTTTTTCCATTGAGATAAGAAATGCGTGGTTTTCTACTTATTTGAAAGCTGAGACACACACTCTTGGTACGGAAGGAAGCCATGAGAGCCGTACCTGCCCCTTCTTGCATGACCATGCTGATTTTGCCACTGAAGAGCACATCAACGTGATTCAGGATGAACTCGACAACCACAGACTGAATTCTCACTTCCATGAAAGCTGCTGTTCCACTGAAGCAGGCAGATTCTATCTGTTTTGATCTGTGAGGTAAACATTTTCATCACAGAGTTGTAAAGACAGCAGTCATAAAGGGCCTCTTTTTTTAAATGTGTAAATCACAGACAAACAGAGGAAGAAATACTTTTACTGTCCCTTAGCTAAGGCCTAGCTGCCTGTTTTAGGGAGATGCAAATAAAAAAGAACAGATTTGTTCTATCTTTTAGAGTTTCCTTAAGGAACACTGATGAATTAGCCTTTTATTTAGGATTAGTTCTACTAAAAGTCATAAGTGAAATGCAAATTACCTTAACAGGTTTGGAGCCCAAACAATTGCTAGATTTTTTGCATGCATATTTGTGATGGAACAATAGTCAGCTAGAAGAGACAAGTGTCTCATCAGGAACTCCAGTGTTCTGGAAATAAAACACAACGTATTAACAGAAAGAAACATGATGCAGCAGTATAGAACATAAAAGTCTACTGAAAAATTTCTAAATTTTCAACAGTGAAATAAAGAAAGAGGCCATACAAACCCAAAAAAACTTTTTTCCCTGCCCACTAGGTTTAACTACTACTTACTAGAAGTGAATCTCCCACCAAAGCTAGTTTCTGGAATAAATAATGCTTTGAAGTTATACCATTCTACTTGCAGCACACATACTAACAGGAAAGGATTTTACACTTCTATGAAAGAAAACAGTAATGTCTCAAAAGCCTAAGAGCAGTTAAAAGAAACATTCCAATAGACATCAAGGGGAGAATATTTGACCAAAGAATATGCTTTGAAATGAAGAGCCTAATTCAAATCCTCCTGTTCGAGTTTATCTTGACTGGTTAAAATTTGCTTTACTTAAACAATTTCATATCTATTGAGATTAAACAACAGGGAAGAGTATTTCTGAAAACAAAACATGATCAGCTTAAATGTAAGTTAAACCAGGTAAGTGGAAGTGTGTGTGTGTGCGAGGTATTATCTATCACCTACCATGTCTCAAAATGTCCTACCTAATAGTAGCTACAGTAAAACTATTAAAGACAATGGGCTGGGCACCATGGCTCACACCTGGAATCTCAGCAGTTTGGGAGGCTGAGGCAGGCAGATCACTTCAACTCAGGCGTTCAAGACCAGCCTGGACAACATGGCGAAATCCCGTCTCTACAAAAAGTTTAAAAGCAATTAGCTGGGTGTGGTGGTGAATGCCTGCAGAGCCAGCTACTCGGGAGGCTGAGGCAGGAGGACTGCTCTAGCCCAGGAAGGGTGCTGCAGTGAGCCAGCTTGGGTAACAGAGTAAGACCTTGTCTCACACACACACAAAAAAGACAATGAATGCAATGAAGGGGAGACAGAAATAAAAGGCTCTATTATATGAAACAGTAATGAAAGATAAAATATGGTTTACATATGGGCCACAAAGATTCAGATGGGCCTAACGTGAATTTGAGAAGAAAAGGAATATAATAGTTAGATGAGGCATTAGGCATTATTCAAGATGCTTTTACCAGCAGTCTCATTTAATTCTCACAATAGCTCTAACAAGCACAGAATTTAAGACAAAGTCAAGGTTGCTGGGGTTTCCACAAACTAGCAGTGGCAGTGCTGCATTTCAAATCAAGGTCAGAGTGGTTCCAAAGTACCTGACATTCAACTGGCACTGCAGCTGCTTTACATTTAAAATGGTAATTCTCTGTCTCTTCTGTATATAATTAAGGAAAGACAGACAGAAGTGAGGCTGGCCTGAGTACTATGTAGAGGTGAGAAGTTTGAGAAATGTGTTTAGAAAACCATGTAAAAATTTTATTACTGGAAGAAGGTGAATGAAGGAAATAATTAAAGGACTTCAGAAATGCATTTGATAAGATTTGCAAATTTAAAAACCAAAGACATCTATTTGGTTTGCCTATCTAATTATGAAGATGTTTTTAAAAGTTAATGTAGAATTTTAGTCAGGATTCCACAAAATGAGTACTTTTATATTCAGCAGATGAGAGTGTGAATTGTATAAATCTTCACAACCTGGAACATAATTTGGATGCTGTTGTCTAGTATTTAGAATAATAATTTAGATTTCCAGAATTTCACTGCGAGGTCATTATTCTATAATAAAAAACATAATCTAGATTCCATGTAAAAGGATGGCCCTCATAGTAATATACAAAACTGGAAAAGGAGGGCTGGGTGCAGTGGCTTACACGTATAATCACTTTGGGATGCTGAGGTGGGTGGACTGCCTGAGCTCAGAAGTTTGAGACAGAGCTAGGCAATATGGCAAAATGCCATCTCTACCAAAAATACAAAAAATTAGCTAGGTGTGGTGGTGTGCGCCAGTGGTCCCAGCTACTTGGGGGGCTGAGGTGGTAGAATCACTTAAGCCTGCGAGGCAGAGGTTGCAGTGAGCCACGATTGTGCCACTGCACTCCAGCCTGGGTAACAGAGTGAGATGCTGTCTCAAAAAAGGAAAAAAAAAGGAAAAAGAAAATACCTCATACTACATGTAGATCAAATATGAAAATTATGAAAGGTTAAATAACATATGGCATATCCAAATGAGAGAACACTATTGAAAATTATGCTTTTCAAGAACATCTAAGGAATTCAGAAATGTTGATGTTAAAATTTTAGATAAAAAGTCTATATCAAAAGATATATGAAGTAGGAAATACACACATATATAAGTTATATTGAAGAAGCTAGATTTATGCAAGAAGAAATTACATAATTATAAAGTAGAAGATATACAGGTACATAATAATAGTAGGCAATGTATATAATCCAGGTAGAACATATATAGAGATAATACAATGTATATTACAAGACAGGCAAAGAGGATAATATTAGATATATATGTATAAATGTCTACAGTCTAGCTATAAAATAGTATACAGAGGATATAAAACGTGTATGCAATGTGTATTATTGAACATCTATCTGCAAGACTCTGCTCTGGAAATATAATGATAAACAAAACAGAATTCATGACCTCAAGGACCTTATGTTTTAGAGAGACTGTATACGGAACTTACAATGGTCAACAGAAACCACAATTCAAATTTTTTTTAACTTGGTCTGTTGCCCAGCTGGAGTGCAGCGTGATCTTGCCTCACTGAAACCTCTGCCTCCTGAGTCCAGGCAATTCTCCTGCATCAGCCGTCCCGAGAAGCTGAGATTACAGGTGTGTGCCACCACACCTGGCTAATTTTTGTATTTTTAGTAGAGATGGGGTTTCACCATATTGGCCGGCTGGTCTTGAACTCCTGACTTCAAGTGATCTGTCCGTCTTGTCCTCCCAAAGTGCTGGGATTACAGGCATAAGCCACTATGCCCAGCCACACTTTGTATTTTGATCTTTTCCCAGGCTAGCAACAAGTGGTCTTATACTCTCTCATGAAGGTAGGCAGAGGCAGTGAGCAGCAGTTCCTAAGCAGTCACACCATCACAAGGGCAAACCCACCAATACTCCACAGTGTAATGTATTGCCAGGTGATTTTTCCCTACTGTGTTCTGAGTGCACACACAGACACACAGTCTCCAACTTACAATGGTTCAATTAAAAAAATATATATATATATGTATATATATATATACACACAGTGTGTGTGTGTGTGTGTGTGTGTGTGTGTGTGTGTGTGTGTGTAGTCTTGCTCTGTCACCCAGGCTAGAGTGCAATGGCACAATCTCAGCTCACTGCAACCTCCATTTGCTAGGTTTAAGCAATTCTCCTGCCTCAGCCTCCTGAGTAGTTGGGACTACAGATGCGTGCCACCATGCCCGGCTAATTTTTTTGTATTTTTAGTAGAGACATGTTTCACCATGCTGGCCAGGCTAGTCTTGAACTCCTGATCTCATGATCCAAACTCCTGATCTCATGATCCATTCACCTTGGTCTCCAAAGTGCTGGGATAACAAAGATGAGCCACCACGCCTGACCAGTTAGGTATATTAAATGAATTTTTGACTTACGATATTTTCAACTTATTGGACATAGTGTCATGGTAAGTCAAGCATCTGTATATTGAATAGGCAATACAGTATATATTTAAAAAATGTAAAGTAGGATATAAGTTCAACAGGGAAGATGAGAAAGCAAGGGAGCTCTGTATATATAATTAGGAAGGGAAATATCTACTTATGTGGGAAATACCTATAATAATATAGGAGAATATATACTATGGCAGGAGAAATATAAATAATTATGGAGTAGATAAACATAATATAGTTGAGAAGTCATACATATCAGTAATAGGGGAGACATATATATACACACATATAAAAACAAGTGTGTGTGTATCTACAGATTTAACATATAGTAAATAGATGGGTATGCATGATTGATAGGAGATAAGAACAATGACAGCAGCAAACTCATTTAGTTCATATAATAGCATTTATTATTTAATAGAACTTGTTCAAAGTGCTTTTATGTTAATATTCACCACAACCCTATGAGAAAGTTACTATTATTGTCTCTGTTTTACAAATGATGAAACTGAGCCCAGAGAGACAAAAGGACTTGCCCAAGGTCACAAAGCTAATATGGTCAGTTTGGCTCCAGAGTCCCTATATCACAATGCCTATAATATCTAGACATTATATATGGTAGAATATATAAATGTACTATACAGTAGAAAATAAATACATATATAATATAAAACAAGAGATATAGATAATACATATAGTGATGAATTTATGTAAACATATATAGCAAGAGATATATGCACTTTGCTGTATGAGAAAATATAAAAAATATTAAGAATTCTACTAAATATACAACACATTAGAGGAAGGAAATATATACAGTTATATGTATATGACAGAGTATCTTCTTACAGATATTCTCTTAATTCACTCACAACATTAACCACTACTTTCAAGTCCTTCTGAAAAATGAACTGAGTAGTGCCAGGGCATACTAAGTTTTTATAGTTAATAGGTTTTTCTTTGGCACCCCTGAACACTCTGGCTAACATCATTTGAATTATAAGCTTACTTACAGTAAATTGTTTCCATAACTGTTTATGAAAGGTTATATTCACATTAATTAAATGCTATCAACATTTACAAAACATGATTTAAAAAATCATTTTTGCTTGCTCCATGAAACCTTAGTTGAAAGCTCTGCAAAGTCTTTATAAAGGGTCACTTTGCAGTCAAAAAAGGAAGCATAAAATGAGTAAAAACCAAATGCTATGATGAGCAGAGAACAATTTAAACCAAAACAAAGCCTATAATTACTAATAATATTCTCATAGATTAGGGACTGTATCCATGAAATAAGAATAGTATGCTATAAAGTAGGAATATTCCGAGAAATAAGGGAGGGAGGGAGTTTTTAGAAATGACTATTCTTAAAAGTCAACAGAGAAAATGGAGAATATCCATAGGTAGAAAGTGACCAAGAGAAAATGTAAAAATAAAAAAATTAGTTCAAGAGTTAAAATAATTCCAGGAATAGAGGAAGGGTTTAAATTGTAATGAGAACCATCAAATAAACAGTACAAGAAAATTTCCCCAAACTGAAAAACAAATTTCCAGATAGAAAAGCCTCATCAAAGTGCCTAAAGTGAAGAAAGAAGAGGAACCCACATCAAGGTACGTCAATGTAAAAGCTGACCACTAGGTATGTTCTAAATTTGAAAACCTCCAGAAAGGATAAAAACAAAACAGTTCATATAAAAAATGGTACACAAGTACCAGACTTTACTGCATTACTTTAAAGCATTACTTAAAGTAAATAAAGTAATACTGTATTGTAGCATTTTTTTAGCAGACAACAAGGGTACAATACCATCAAAATTGTAGGGAAAAAATAATCTGTACACTGAAAGTATACAGCTAATTATTAACTGAATCCAACAGTAGAATAAGAGTATTTTCAGATATTGAGGTTTCAAAAAATTTACCTCCTATACACCTTTCCTCTGGAAGACATCAAAGGATGTACACTACAAAAGCAAGTAATAAAAACAAGGAAGATGACAACAAGATATCCAGAAAAGAAGTGATCTAACTCACAAAGAAGGTGAAGGGAATTCCAGGGAGAGGGTTAAGGTTGGGGTTGGCAGCCTCCTTGTAGATCTAGAGATCAGCCTGGATCTAGGGAACAGAAGGCCCTAAAAAGGATGTTTTCAGGAAGAAAAAAGATTAAGATTGATATGTTTGAACATACTCAGAGAACATTTATAGTTCTGTTGGAGAGTCTGGGGGATAAATAAGTGACAAGTAGAAACCTGGCAAGCCAAAAATGGTCAATGAATTCACAGAAAACCCAAAAAGTTGTGCCAGGAAGGATATACAATTCTAGTATGTGATTAAGTGCAGTTGTGAATAACAGTGACAGAGTTACTACAATGGAGACACCGAATACTGGTTTAACTCCAAATGCTGATATAATTAGACTAGGAAGATGAGTGAAGGGGAAGTGTGTGTTTGTGTGGTGGTATTGGGGGGAGGAGGTTGCAAGAGAGCTAATTCTTCATTTACCATAAAAGGAAAGCAACAAATATTGTCAAGGAATGAAAAATACACACACAGCAATATAAGCATGCTAACAGAAACAGTAGAGTCAACTCCAGCAGAGAGAGCTGACAGTAATAACTTCTGGGAAAGAGGAAGTTTGGATGGAGGGTATGCAGCTGGTAACTGCTGTTTCTCACTGTCAGCTTTGCATGCCATTTGGTTTTTTAAAGCTATCTATACATGTCATATTGATAACTTTTTTAATGTATAAAAAGATATATTTACATGGTAAATCATGCAAAATTACCAAGAGACCTTGGCTTAAATCTAACCATCCATCTTGCTCTGCTTAATTTGAAACAAAAATAGCAGGGTTCAGGCTCATTCACACATGTTATCATTTAAAAAATCCTCTTAAGAAGGTGAGTACAGTTGTCCATTGATATCAATGGCAGATTGATTTAGGACGCTCCACAGATAATACAGTCAATGGATGCCCAATTCCATTACGTAAAATGTTGTAGTAGCTCCATATAACCTACACAATCCTCCCAAATGCTTTAAATCATCTCTAGATTACTCATAATACCTAATACAATATAAATACTATGTAAATAGTTGCTATACTATATTGTTTATAGAATAATGACATAAAAAAGTCTGTAAATATTCAGTACGGATCCCTCCTAATATTTTTGATGCATGATTGGTTGGAATCCATGGATGTGGAACCCACAGATACGGAGAGCTGACTGTATTCTAATCACAGATATTAAGATTGATTTTTAGGTCACATAGGTGATCAGTGATGGACCTGAAAATTCAGACTCGGGTCTATCAAATCCAATAGTCTTTATATGGCACTAGGGTTACTTTTTCTGATTAGCTGATAAAAAGTACTCTTCTCCCCATTCTTCAAATAATTGTATACTGATCAGATTCGTCTCTCTAGCCTTCCTTTTCAGGGCTAAATATCTCACTTTCTTTGAGCTTACCTCCCTACAACTCTTCAATTTTTTTTTCACTGTTTAATGGGTCCTTAGACCTCATTAATGTTATCACATTCCTCTTCAGATGGACTATATCAATAGGACAATAAATTACTGATACTAAGTTACCTCCTAGGTCATGACTATCATGCACTCATATCTATAGTGTTGATTTTTAAATATCTATTGATTTTTAGTATGGATTAAAAATGTTGGGTTGATTTAGTGCTGATTTTTTTTTTTTTTTTTTTTCCAGGCTGAGTTTTGCTCTGTTGTCCAGGCTGGAGTGCAGTGGTGTGATCTCGGCTCACTGCAACCTCCATCTTCCGGGTTCAAGTAATTCTCCTGCCTCAGCCTCCTGAGTAACTGGGATTAGAGGTGCCTGTGTCCATGCCTGGCTAATTTTGTATTTTTTGTAGAGACAGGGTGGCGCCATGTTGGCCAGACTGGTCTTGAACTCCTGACCTCAGGTAATCTACCCACCTCGGCCTTCCAAAGTGCTGGAATAACAGGTGTGAGCAATGGCACCTGGCCTAAAGTACTAATTTTTGAAACATATATATAAGCAATGTCATTTTGAAAAAAAATTAATTTGCATATTACTAGAACATCTGCTTAATTTAATTTCTTATCAACAATTGAAATTTTAAAATGTATCTTTTGTTTCTTTGCATACTAAAATCTAGTTTCAACCATTTTCTTTTTCTCACTAACTGGCAAAGTCATCTTCAATTTTATTCTGGTTTTCTCAGACATAACCACAAATATTTCCAAGAGTTCAAACTAACATACACATCAAATTATGTTTTAAAAAGTAGCAACAACAAGAAAACCAATGAAGAAACTAAAACAAAAAATCTACAAGTTTAGTCTACCATTCATTTGTCTATCCATCTATTCATTCAAGCTTTAAGTACCTATAGGATACTAAGCAGTGTGCCAGGCCCTAGGGATCTAAGGATATCTATACATAAACAAGTGCGCGCGTATGCGTGCATGCACACCACACCCCCCTATATAGTACATGTGTGTGTTTATATATGTATAAGTAAAATCCAAATCCATTCTTTAAAATTGGAAATGTAATTAGAACTCCAAGGAAGTTTAAATAGAAATCCAAAGGAAAAAAAAACTGTTTACAGGTCAATCAACTGCTACCTCCACCTAGTATTTACCCACAGTGGCTGACCTGTAGTGTGGTGGCGGGAGCTGCTGGATGACATCGTGGATTTTTATCAGCCTTTCTTCATCTGTTGCTGCTGAAACTGCATCCTAGAACAGTCACAGTGCAAAATAAACTAGTGAGCTTTGTTGATAAAAATGAAAGTTCTTCACTTACAATTCAGTTTTCACTCTGAGATCAACTCACTTTGCTCTTGGATGCAAAATGGTGAGGAAACACAACATTGTATTAAGGAAGTCAACTGTTTCCACGCAGTGCGTGAACACTGAGATCTACAAAACTAAGTTTAAAAAGCTTGACAGTAATTCGTATTATGCGTAACAAGACTAGCAGCTCAAAGTCAGGAAGCAACAGAATGACAATGTACAGCAAAGACCACAGACTAACTGGCGATATTTGTTTTTTTTAAGAAGTCATTTTACTCATAGAACTATTTCTTACATGTGACCAAACCAATGTTCAAATGTTTTGAACAAAAGCACAGCAAAGTTCCACAAAGAATTAGATTCAAAAGTAGCCTGTACTCACAGAAAATTTCTCATACAGCTGGTAGGTAAGCAGGGGGTTTGGGAGTTCCCGGAAGTACAGCTTACATAGGGAGCCCACAGAATGGATGTCCTGAACATATGGTTCTTTCGTCAGGTCGGGGACATGCTCAGAGTCAAATTCATGGCTGATATAGACAGAAGAGGACAAGCAAGTCATTTGACTGAGGAAAGCAAATACATGTCTTAAAAACAGAAAGCACAGGCCCTAAAAGTGTTTAGCTCTATTTCAGTGAGTTGCTATTATCTTTCATTTATTATACTTTACATAAGTCATGTTTGGTCTTCAGCAACAACTGGATGTCTTAGTACAAGACAGATACCTTTCTATGTGGAAATTAAGGGCACAGCTTTAACATTAAAATGGACAATGGCCTCTGAGACACAAATGAATGAACAGCTCTTACAGTACATCAGTCTGAAAACAGGACTCCTAATTGCTAATGATTTGAATATCCAATGTTTTGGCAATTCTAGAGACTAGTGTTGAATGGCAAATGATCCACAAACAATTATGAGCAGAAATTCTGCAGGTACAAATTATATGACACAAGAATGCTTTCCTAAAGCAGAGTAAAAAAAGTCAGAAACAACATAAAGCAGTTCCTACCTAACTAACAACAAATGTTAATAAGCAGGAAAATCTGTATCATTAGAATGAGTAAAATAAAATTTGTGTACAGAATACTAAGGCAGATTAAGCATACTCTCTAGGAATTTAATTAATATTAATCTGCAGGCATGAGATCACTTATCATCTACCTAGAGGATTAATGTGTGTGTACAATCTGAATATGGGATTTACCTTGTCTTAAACTGAAGACTAAAACTGTCTTTAGTACAAGAACCAATTTATGTATTTTTCAAGCACGTATTCCCAAAAACTGAGATGGGCTCTGTGATTCTTTAAAATATTAAAATCCCTACAGAAAAATGGCAGTTACCATGCACCACAATACAAAACAAAAGATAACGGCATATCAAGAATAGACTAGAATCCAAGATATTAAGCAAAAATAAAATATTGCTGGCACAGAGTATGTCACTGTTTTTGTCTCAGAGAAGATTTGGGGAGGATACGGATGAATGCATACTTGAGCATATAAAGAGAATCAGGGTCAAAGGAGATCAGAAAATGTTCCATTACCATCCATTTTCATTAACACCTAAAGAATAACTATTATAATTGCAAATTTGATCTCTTACGGCTGTCATCAGCTCAAACTCAATTTGCTAAAATCTTCAATCATTATAAAGAGGCAAAATACAAGTACAGAAGAGATTAAGGTGAATGATTATCTGATATTACAGATAAAAAATGTCATTTAGAAAAGTATACACAGAAAATACCATGGATATTATTTCCTATTTTATCTAAACTATCTTTAATAAGAATAGGTTATCAAAGTAAGTGAATCTGTTTTGGAAATATTTTCATTTTAATTAGTTAAATAGAAGTGTAAAAATGCCATATAAGATTTTACCGTAGTCTCTGGATATTGGAGGCAACACCAGAAAGGCGATATATTCCATCCACAATGCCATATCTCTCAATGAATGCTGTGCAGCTTTGAAGAACCTGGGGTACTAAAGAGAATTTTTAAAGACATAGATTAAATTGGTAGTATTCACCGTAACCAAAGTTGCCAAAAAGTAAGATTGTTTTAGTTTACAAAAGCAAAATAAAATTTGTAAATTAAAGTTAAAAGAGGTAAAAATTAATCCACTACAAAAAATGATGGGGTATATTTACATAATTTCACACCTCAGCTAGATAAATAATTCCTGAATAATCAAGACTGGCTCTATGTCATTACACTTAACTAAGTGAAAGAGTTTATACATTATTAGGACAGTCTCTCTTCTGCAGTAAACTCATTTAGATCATGTTACAGTTACATATTACAGTAAAATAAACTGTTTAGTCCTAACACCATGCCAGATTTTTAAAAAATACATCTGTTCAGCTGACTTTCATATATAGCAAATGGATATATAAAGTTAAATGCTTATCCCAACAACATAATTGCTTGTAAGTGCTGCAAAGTTTTGCTTCTAAAAAATTATCTTCTACCTTTTCACAGTTAATGCAAATTTTGACTTTATTCAATAAACAAAATGCTAATATAATGCAAAGCCCAAAGCAATTTCAAATAGATAGAATCTTGTAACTTCCTGGCCATTTTTACATTAACTTACTGACATTCTGACTTTATATTATCAGCTCATAATAAAGAACATGCTGTCTGGCTAGCTCCATTAATATACACTGGAAAGCTGTCTGAGGCATGTAGTATCGAACAGAATTTTCAAAGTACATGATAAAAAAATTTTATAACCATTCAAAATTTATAACAGCTGAGACTTTAACATTAGTTGTTTTGCAATGCAGATTGATGAGTTTATAGACTTTAGTATGACCATTTGATAGGGTTAGTTAAAATCCTTGAAAAGAAATCCTTGGAAAATTTGGTTTGCAAAGAAGCTACTATAATAGAGATAAAACACTCAGAGTGGCAAATGAAACAAACGACATTTTAATAAGATAATTTTAGTGAATGTATTTAATTTATAGTATATTGTCATTCCTTTATTATTATAATAGACTTTTCCTTGGTTTTCCTAACTTTTGTTGTCCTTCCTGGAGTCTATCTTTAAATTCTGTCAGATTCTATAACAACTTTTAAAACTTAACCTCCTTATCTTTGATTAGAAAATAAATCAAAAAACAAAAACCAGCAGCTGATAATATTAAGTACTAAATATACACCAGGCTAAGTGCTTTACAAAGGATACTTTCTGATTTTCAGAGAAATCCTACAAGGAAAGTACTACCATATCCCCATTTTTATAGAGAAGAAATTGTATCTTAGAAAGAGTACGTTTTACTCAAGGGCAGGCAGGAAACAGCAACAGAAGTGAGATTCTAACTCAAGCAGTCCAAATACAGAGCCAATGCTTTTAACTACTGCAATATACTGCCCAGCAGAGAAGGCCTTTCACAATTTACACTCAATTATTATTGTATTTCCATATTCCACAACTCCAGGCCAAGTGAAATCTTACCTTTTGCCATACAAACCAACCATTCTATGATTCCTTCACAAAACAATTTCCTCTAGCCGGACTCTCCCCTACGACCCTCCTTCATATAGAAAATTCTTGGCTATTGTTCAAAATCCAGCTAAACTATCACTCTTAAGCAAGCCTTCATTGAATACCCACAAGTAGAGGAGGTGAGCACTGTGTTCTATGTGCTCACAGAACAGAATTTCAAATTATCATTTATTATTACCCTTTTCTGACTGTGGGCTCTTCAAGCGCAAAACCATGCATCATTCATCTTTGTATATTTAAAACTCAGGAACATTGTCCTGACACAATGTACACAATTAGCAAGTGAATTAATTTACAGGTGCCTTCAGAGCCTGAAATAGTTATTATCTGGTCAAGTTAGCAGGGAAGGACCCTTAGTTTTCATATGGAGCTATATTAATATTAATACATTTTCAACTATATGTTTTCTGCCTCTAAAAATATTCGAGACTTTTAGCAACAAGAAAGGGATATATTTACGTAGTAAGGATGAAGGGCAGGCAGAATTGCTGGGTACTTCTTGTGGATTCACTTGATATTAGAAGCAATCTCTGTGTCAAAATAATATGCAAAATATATAGTATCTTTACAAAAGCTTGGGTCCTAGTTCTAACATTGTCCCACCAATGATGACATCAGTCTAAGACTTCAATTCTAAAAACTGGAAGTGGAATAATAAAATTTGGGGCTAGAAAATTTCAGTCACCTGCTTCAAAGGGAACATATTTAGAGATTACTGGGATAATTAACATCATTACTTAGGAAAAGAGTTAAAATTCTTTCCTGTAAAGCATCAAGAAGATGCTTCTCATTATGCATGCTCCAAATTAAAAGCTAATTCACCCAGGTACACAGAAGGGTTGTCTTGGAAGAAAACCCTTCAGAGCACAGTATTTTATTTCCATATTGTCAATCTATACTAGCACACAAAAACTTTTCATAATAATAAGCTACTATATATAAAAAAGAATAGGTAATTTTTATTGGATGTGTATATCTGTGTGTTAAAAGATTCTTATCTGTTTATTATTCCAAATAAGTAGGAAAACAGAAAACACAGAGAATTAGGGGTGTTTTCCTGATAATAGGACCAAGTCCTTACTGACATAACACTTCATGGCAAGCATCTGAATTGTGTTCCCTGAGAAGGACTGAATGTCTATACAACAATCACATAATAAGCTTAATAAACAAAATTACATAATCATTACTTATAAGTTTAAGAGAGACAAATGAGACATTTAATATAAATAGGTGGCAAAATGAAAGAAAAGCATAAACTTGAATTTTGAAGAAAAGAGAGCAGAAACTGAAAAACAATGTTAGAAGAAAAAAAGATCTGGTTTCTTTTTCACTAAAGAGTAGGAAAGCAATTTAAGAATCTAATATATTCTATTTTGTAAAAAAAATCCTAGTTTTAGAAAAAAGGCGGTTTATTAGTTACCCCAAACCATCTAAAAAACCAGCCAAATGCATACTGAATAATGATGTAGTCAAAATATAACATTAGAAACCTCCAAAATGGTTCCTCCAAAAGATGGTATGACTTTTGGAATCATTCCCACATTCTCCACATAATACACTTCTGATTTACTTTCATTTTACATTCTTAGTTTTTAAAATATCATCATATGACAACAGAATAAGAATTACATATTTAAATTAAAATTGATGATCCTTAAAATTAGAATATGGCTAAAAGAAGTAGGAAATGGCTCACTGCATCCTTGACGCATCCTCCCATCTCAGCCTTTCAAGTAGCTGGAACCACAGGTGTGGGCCACCATACCCAACTAATTTTTAAAAATTTTTTTGTAAAAGCCCTGTCTCTACAAAAAAAATTAATGATAAAAAATCAGTGATACCAGAAAACTCGCTGTTCCACTCAATTAGATTTTATCATAATTAGGGAACAGATGAATACTGTAGTTTAACCTGCTATTTTTCAGAAAGAAGTCATTTAACAGCTTCTGTCCTCCCCCTACGAACGCTATGAAGAATGAAAACATACCTGAAACTTCTAAGTACAACTAAATTTGAATTGATATTTGAGAGCTAATGAGCACGGCAGGACAAATTGGAAAACTCTCCTTAATTTCTTTCTTTTTTTTTTTTGAGACAGAGTCTTGCACTGTCACCCAGGCTGTAGTGTAATGGCACGATCTTGGCTCACTGCAACCTCTGCCTCCCAGGTTCAAGCAATTCTCCTGCCTCAGCCTCCTGAGCAGCTAGGATTCCAGCTACGGGATGCACCACCACACCCAGCTAATTTTTGTAATTTTAGTAGACACAGGGTTTCACCATATTGGCCAAGCTGGTCTTGAACTCCTGACCTCAGGTGATCTGCCCACCTCAGCTTCCCAAAGTTCTGGGATTACAGGCGTAAGCCACCATGCCAGGCCTCTCTTTCATATTAACGATCACATCTAAGCAAGGTTAAACATTGTTACATGGCATTTAAACATGCCATGTTACCCAGGCTGGTCTCAAAATTTCTAGGCTCAGGTGCTCCTCCTATCTTGGCTTCTCAAAGTGCTAAGATTACAGACATGAATGAGCCACCTTCACCCAGCCCCCTACAAAGTCTTAAGATCTTAAAAAACTAAAATTCGGAACATATTCATTAAATCAAAGACAAACTACTAAATCATTTAACTACTAAAAAACCATTTTATTTCCTAATTAAAATTTAGTTAATAAACTTCAAAGGTTTCCCTTCTCCTGCTAATTTAGGCTTCATAAGGATATTCAAATGAATATCCTTCTTATGAATATTTATTCATTTCTTACCAACCCTGATGAAACAGGAAATTATTTTAACATGCCAACTATAATATATCTGACCTCAGTCTTCAAGGTTTCTGGCTCCTGAAGTTTACTGAATTTCAATTACACTTTAACATCACAAGTTGATTTTTTTTTTTTGTCATTTAACTTTGTTGGCAAAGAGGGATTAATCTTCCAGGATTATTAAATTCATTTCTAATATTCCTCTAATTTTTTAATTGAAAAAGCAAGTCATCTAAGAAAAAAATCACAATATTCTCTAATAATTTACTATAATTATATTCATTTTTCATAACACCTACATATCCAGACTTTTAAGAATTATATCTACTATTTATATATAACATTGTTTCAGGTTTCTACACTGTTTTCAAACTTATTTATTTATTTATTTATTTATTTGCTTGCTTACTTACTTACTTATTTAGAGACAGGGTTTTGCCCCGTTGCCCAGGCTGGAGTGCAGTGGCGTGATTAATAGCTTACTGTAGTCTCCAACTGCTGGGGTCCAGTAATCCTCCTACCTCAGCCTCCAAACTAGCTAGGAGTACAGGTGTATGCCACCACGCTCAGCTCAGTTCGTATATTTTTTTGTATAAATGGGATCTTGTTATACTGCCCAGCCTGGTATAAACTCTCGGCCTCCAGTGTTCCTCCTACCTTGGCCTCCCAAAGTACTAGGATTACAGGAATAAGCCATCTCACCCAGCCCAAACTTAAAATTTTTAATAGCTTCAACATTTATAGAACATTCCCCTGTCCGGGTGTGATGGCTCATGCTTGTAATCCCAGCACTCTGGGAGGCTGAGGTGGGTAGATTGCTTGAATCTAGGAGTTCAAGACCATCTTGGCCAACATGGTGAAATCAAATCTCTACAAAAGATACAAAAATTAGCTGGGTGTGATGGTGCATGCCTGTAGTCCCAGCTATTCAGGAGGCTGAGGCAGCAGGATAGCTTAAAGCCCAGGAGACAGAGGTTGCAGTGACCTGAGATCGTGCTACTGCACTCCAGCCTAGACGACAGAGTGAAACCCCATCTCAAAAAAGAACATTCTCCCAAAGTTGGGTATTTAATATTTTTGTTTTCATACATAATACTATAATGAACATTTTTGTTTCTATTTAATTATGACATTAAGGTAAGTCCCTAAGCATGAATTCATTAGCTGAAAGGAACACTATAAAGTGTCTTGCTATGAAGTGTCAAATGTTTTCCAAGAACTCACTGCCAAGTCAGAACCACCTGAAGTCAACAATTCTGAACCTATTGGTAAAAATCACTGCTATGTTTAATGGCACTGAATATAATAATTTAGAAAAATAGCTTTATTTTAATATTTACCAATGTAAAACAGTATTTCAAAATTGCCTACAGATACATTTCCAGGATTACAAATAAGGAGAAACAGTTTTCTGTATTTTGTTTATTATCGATTGCCCTGTGACAGTTTAATGTTTGTATCTTTTCTCCATTCTTTTACTCAGGAACTTAAATTTTCTCAAAAATCTGAAATGATATTCTCATACACTATGATAGCAGCATTTCATCATATCCAAAAATTAGTATTTTTCCTTGTCTATGATACCTCTCCCTCTACATTGTTATTTTTCATTATATGAAAAGTATATATATTTAAGCCATGTCTTTATGTTTTTTGTTTAAACCTGAGAAAGAGCTATTATTATTCATTTTGTTTCAAAACAAAATCAATTCACACTGGCAATTCTGTAAGTTTAAAATGGTTAACTTACACATTTGAAGTTTATTTTCACTATGACAAAATGTAAATTTTTTTCAAAACTGCTATTTAATTATCTCTATATATTATAAATCGCTCTTCCTCATGACATGGTTCTAAAACCATACTTTTCTCACAGTGGATTCTTATGTATAGTAACAACTATTTCTGAACACTCTAAGATGTTTCACTCACATTTCATTCTCTGCAATAAACTCTGACTTTTTTTTTTTTTTTTTTTTTTAAGATAAAGTCTTGCTCTATTATCCAGACTGGAGTGCAGTGGTGTAAAATCAGCTCACTGCAACCCGCACCTCCCGAGCTCTCTCACCTTGCCCTCCCAAGTAGCTGGGATTACAGGTGGGTACTACTTAACTGGATAATTTTTGTATTTTTGGTAGAGACCTGGTTTTGCCATGTTGCACAGGCTGATCTCAAACTCTTAGGCTCAAGCTATCTGCCTGCCTTGGACTCCCAAAGTGCTGGGATTACAGGTGTGAGCTACTGTACCCAGTGAAAACTCTGCCTTTTTAGTTTTGAATATTGTTTTAACATCTAGTAAAACTAGATGTCTCCTATCCTATCGCTGATTTTTTTCTTTGACATTCTTACTGGTTGAGTTTTCCATTTGCATTAGTTGCAAAAGTAATCCTAAGAGTTTTTGTTTCTTTGGGATCTGCATTAGGTTGGTATTAATTTGAGAATAACATCTGTTTGAAATAACATTTTTGTCTACTCTCTCAAGAAACATGGTACAGTTTGCATTAAATTCCTAAGTCAACTGATATTCTTTAAGCAATGAGTAAGACCTTAATTTGAACTTGATACTATCACCCAGTATTATTATTACTTTACCATTGTTTCTCACTAATGGTCTTCTCAAAAGGCACAACGGGTATTTCCCACACCAATTTTGAATTTCACAATCACCTATTTCTGGTACTTAACAACATTATAGGTAGATCCTGCCTTCATCTTCTGGAATCTCTGAAAGAGATGCTAGAGGAAAGTGCTATTCTGAAATATAAAAGGAAAACTTTTTTTTCTTTCCCTCCTATCCTTCTCCCCATTCAAAAATTAAATTCTTGATTCATAATTTAATTTGTAAATAAAGGAAAATAGATTCCTACAAAAAATAAAATACAGATTCTCCACAAAAAATAAAATGAGAAAAATTAGCCAGGTGTTGTGGTGCATGCCTCTAGTCCTAGCTACTCAGGAGGCTGAAGTGGGAGGACTGCCTAAGTCCAGGAGTTCAAGGCTGCAGTCAGCTATCATCACACCACCGCATTCCAGCTTGGGTGACAAACTAAGGCCCTGTCTCTTTAAAAACAAAAAAAAAATTGGAAGATTGATTTTGGCACTTTATGTGTCAAAACTATGATAGTTTTTTCCATAGGAAGAATTAGATAAATATTTTAGGATAAAATGTGGGTGGCAAAACTGGCTGAAGAAGCTATTTAGGGAGAAACAGAAACGAACAAAGTTAACAGGGTGGTTGTAATACATTTTGTGTGAATGTCCTACTCTTCCCAAACAGAACATGAGCATCTCTGATGCCAAAGTGCATTCTTAGACTTTTCATTCTCAGCACCACCCAGAACTGAGTAACTAAGAAAGCTTAACACATGCATTGAACTGAAATGAAACAGGTATCATTTACATAAATCTACTCCATAATTGGTTATAGAGAACCAATATAGAGAGATCAGAAACTGAAAGTATATGCTTGCACATTTTATTTTTACCTTCAAAACCGGAATTTAGAAGGTGCTCCCCCAGGTCACAACCAAACACCCTCTCTTTCAAGATTCCCCGCTGCTTCAGCTTCTGTTTCGTTGGACGAGACTTCATGAATGTTCGTAAGAAAGTAATGAGCTTGCCGTGCTTTTTAGACACTAAAAATCAACAAAGAGAAAATATCTTGGTTGTGGTAAGAGGTTACATGTTAGTTAGCATAAAAAGAAACATATCCCAAGAGGCTGACAGCAAAATAATCTATTATAAATACACTTTATAGTCTTCAGGAAAATTTCAGCAGAAGTTTAGCTAAGAGTTGTGTTATAAATAACATCGTAATTTTGTACTTTCTTCTCACTAACTTACCTTATGAGAGTGTGAGCAAATTCAAGTGTTGTAACCCATGACATCTGAATCATGCTTGGTAAACTAGTCATCTTCCCAATGCACACTTAAGAATGTTACAGGATTACAAGAGGAACCTGAGTTTTGCTGTAATACATTGCTTTGGAGATCTTTAAAATAAGTAAGACTTAAAATGATATAAAAGTAATTTGCATTTCTAGTCAATTTTTAAATTATTTTACTTGATGGTTAGAAATTTTCACAGCACTTGAAATCTGTTGAATACAACTGAAAAAAGAAAACTCTCATTTTGCAAAGAGAACAAGACCATGATGACACAGAACACATTTGTCAACCTAATGGCTATATAAATACAAAACACACACCCACGCAAGCATCAGATCTTCCATTAACATTCGTCTATAGTATACTAAATACTCCTCTTCAATCCTTTGTAGATCAAGGCAAGTGGTGAGTAAATTAATATTTGAAAAAATATTTCCACTGACTGATATATTAGAAAGACAATTGAAAAAAATGAAACAAATCTCTTAAAAATGACTTTTGCTGAGAAGTGCAGCCTATAGGGATAATTATGCTAAACGTCTACATACAACAATATCATGAGGTCAAAGATTAGTTGTTAGAAGACTAAGCCGGATGGCCTCAATCCACCTACTCAGTTTGCAGATGATTACTGGGAGTCTTACTGAATTCTGCTATACATTTTTAAACTTTTCACATGTACACAGTAGGCATACATATTTATGGATACAAGAGGTATTCTGATACAGGCATGCAAAGTGTAATAATAACACCAGGATAAATGGGATATCCATACCCTCAAGCATTTATCCTCTGAGTTGCAAACAATCCCATTATAGTCGGGGGACTCAAGATGGCGCTGTGAGAACAACCCAGGATTGGCGCTCGCGTTGAATCCGCAAACGGTGAGTCTGAGCTGCATTTCCAGACTGATCTTTGTTGCCCACAGAACGGGGAAACTCCCAAGTATAAAAAAGACACGGGACGCCAGGCAGTAGGTCTGCCTGGCGAAGCCGGCAGCCGGGGCGGTGGCGGCCGGCCCTACCCAGCAATCCCCACAGGGCGCGCTTGTCCGGGTGCCCTGTTGAACCGGCAACCTGAGACTTGAGAGGGCTGGACTTGAGACTGAACGAGACTTGGACAGAAGCCCAGCCCAGGGGATTGTAGGGACAGATCGTTTGGGAAACCCAGTGGGACGAACAAAACCGCAATTTCAAACTATCCCGAGCAGACGGCCCGAGACGCTCTGTGGGGGAGGGGCGTCCACCACTACCGAGGCAACCCGCCCCAACTGAGATACACGCCCACTGCTGACGCAGCCAGCCGTTGCCGAGGCAACCCGCCCCAACTGAGATACACGCCCACTGGTGACGCAGCCAGCCGTTGCCGAGGCAACCCGTCCCGACTGAGATACACGCCCACTGCTGACGCAGCCTGCCGTTGCTGAGGCAACACGCTACAACGAAGAGACTCCACCGCAGGGCATGGCGGAGACCACAGAAGAGCCTGTAGGAACAGGGCGAATCACACAACAGCAGGGCGGAGCCTCGGCAGCCAAACAGTGGCTAGTCTGCCTTCTAGCTGGGCAGGACACCTCATCGAACATCCAAAAATAAAGCCCAAACCCCTCAACACAGAGCATTTGAGGGAAAAAAAAAAAGGGTTTTTTAATGAGCTCTGTTGCAGCAGAATCAAACATAGCAGCCTAACAGCCCTGAAGGAACAACAGAGTGCACAGCTCAGCAATTAAACCCCTATAAAGTACAAACTGTCTCCTCAAGCAGCTCCCTGACCCCTCTATATCCAAAAGACTGACATTAGGCAGGCATCATCCTGGGACAAAGATAGCAGAAAAAGAAACTGGTAGCATCCCTTGCTGTGCCAAAGGTGCTAGAGGTGCACCCCAGACAAGCAGGGTCTGGAGCGGACCTCAGCAGTCGTACAGCGAAGGGGCTAGACTGGTAGAAGGAAAATCAAGCAACAGAAATACTTCATCATCAACATTCCGGGTGTCCACTCAGAGACCCAATCGAACAGTCAGCAACTACGCAGACGACCAGCGGACAAATCCACAAAGATGGGAAGAAACCAGCGCAAAAAGGAGGAAAACACCCGAAACCAGAACACCTCGCCTCCTAGAAAGGACCAAAACTCCTCACCAGCAAGGGAACAAAGCTGGACGGAGAATGACTGTGACGAAATGACGGAATTAGACTTCAGAAGATGGATAATGAGAAACTTTGGTGAGCTAAAAGATCATGTATTGAATCAATGCAAAGAAACTAAGAACCTTGAAAAAAGATTTGAAAAAAGATTCGAGGAAATGATAACAAGAATGGATAACTTAGAGAGGAATATGAATGAATTAAAGGAGCTGAAAAACACAATACGAGAACTTCGCGAAGCAAACACAAGTTTCAATAGCCGAATTGACCAAGCAGAGGAAAGAATATCTGAAGTCGAAGACCAACTCAATGAAATAAAACGAGAAACCAAGATCAGAGAAAAAAGCGCAAAAAGGAATGAACAAAGTCTCCAAGAAATGTGGGACTATGTGAAAAGACCTAACCTACGTTTGATAGGTGTACCAGAAGGGGACGAAGAGAATGAATCCAAGCTGGAAAATACTCTTCAGGACATCATCCAGGAAAACTTCCCCCACCTAGCAAGACAGGCCAACACTCAATTGCAGGAAATACAGAGAATACCACAAAGATATTCCGCAAGAAGAGCAACCCCAAGGCACATAATCGTCAGATTCAACAGGGTTGAAATAAAGGAGAGAATACTAAGGGCAGCCAGAGAGAAAGGTCGGGTCACCCACAAAGGGAAGCCCATCAGACTCACAGCAGATCTCTCGGCAGAAACACTACAAGCCAGAAGAGAGTGGGGGCCAATATTCAACATTCTTAAAGAAAAGAACTTTCAACCCAGAATTTCATATCCAGCCAAACTGAGCTTCAGAAGTGAAGGAAAAATAAAATCCTTTGCGAACAAGCAAGTACTCAGAGATTTTGTCACCACCAGGCCTGCTTTACAAGAGCTCCTAAAAGAGGCACTACACATAGAAAGGATCAACCAGTACCAGCCATTCCAAAATCACACTGAATGCTAAAGAGCATCAACATAATGAAGAATCTACAACAACTAACAGGCAAAACAGCCACTTAGCATCAAAATGGCAGTATCAAATTCACACATAACAATATTAACCCTAAATGTAAATGGACTAAATGCACCAATCAAAAGACACAGACTGGCAAATTGGATAAAAATCCAAAACCCATCAGTGTGCTGTATCCAGGAAACCCATCTCACATGCAAGGATACACAAAGGCTCAAAATAAAGGGATGGAGGAAGATTTACCAAGCTAATGGAAAGCAAAAAAAAGCAGGAGTTGCAATTCTCATCTCTGATAAAATAGACTTTAAAGCAACAAAGATCAAAAGAGACAAAGAAGGCCATTACATAATGGTAAAAGGATCAATACAACAAGAAGAGCTAACGATCCTAAACATATATGGACCCAATACAGGAGCACCCAGATACATAAGGCAAGTTCTTAATGACTTACAAAAGGACTTAGACTCCCACACAATAATAGTGGGAGATTTTAACACTCCACTGTCAATATTAGACAGATCAACCAGACAGAAAATCAACAAGGATATCCAGGGCTTGAACTCAGACCTGGAGCAAGCAAACCTGATAGACATCTACAGAACTCTCCACCCCAAATCCACAGAATACACATTCTTCTCAGCACCACATCACACCTACTCTAAAATTGACCACATAATTGGAAGTAAAGCACTGCTCAACAAATGCAAAACAACTGAAATCATAACAAACAGCCTCTCAGACCATAATGCAATCAAGTTAGAACTCAGAATTCAGAAACAGACCCAGAACCGCACAGCTTCATGGAAACTGAACAACTGGCTCTTGAATGTTGACTGGGTAAACAACAAAATGAAGGCAGAAATAAAGAAGTTCTTCGAAACCAATGAGAACGAAGACACAACGTGTCAGAACCTCTGGGACACATTTAAAGCAGTCTCTAGAGGAAAGTATATAGCAATAAGTGCCAATATGAGGAGAATGGAGAGATCCAAAATTGACACCCTATCGTCAAAATTGAAAGAGCTAGAGGAGCAAGATCAAAAAAACTCAAAACCTAGCTGAAGACAAGAAATAACTAAGATCAGAGCTGAGCTGAAGGAGATTGAGACACGAAAAACCCTCCAAAAAATCAATAAATCCAAGAGCTGGTTTTTTGAAAAGATCAACAAAATAGACAGACCACTAGCCAGATTGATTAAAAATAAAAGAGAGAACAACCAAATAGATGCAATAAAAAATGATAAAGGGGAAATCACCACAGATTCCACAGAAATTCAAACCATCATCAGAGAATATTACAAACAACTCTATACACATAAACTAGTAAACCTGGAAGAAATGGATAAATTCCTGGACTCCTGTGTCCTCCCAAGCCTAAACCAGGAGGAAGCTGAAACTATGAATAAACCAATAACAAGGTCTGAAGTTGAGGCAGCAATTAAGAGCCTACCGCACAAAAAAAGCCCAGGTCCAGACGGGTTCACAGCCGAATTCTACCAGACACACAAGGAGGAGCTGGTACCATTCCTTCTAAAACTATTTCAAACAATCCAAAAAGAGGGAATCCTTCCCAAATCATTTTATGAGACCAACATCATCCTGATACCAAAACCCGGCAGAGACCCAACGAGAAAAGAAAACTTC